AATCAAAACAGATAAAATCAGAACAGTAGATAAAATCAGTAGTTAAATGTAAGTCAGTAAATTTAATGCTTGAATGATTCATTCAAGTACCAAAAAGCTTGTCTAATAGAGTTCAGGCAATGCTGTAAGTAGTTTTAGAGACAAAAATGTTTTTATCTGAATATGGTGGGTAATAGGGATAGACTGAAAATGAATGAAAAAAGCAACCAATGTCCCAAGAAAATCTTTGAAAAATCATCCAGGAAACCTAAAGACGTATTGTTGAAGAGAACTTTAAAAATACAAGAAGATCAAAATACAAGATTTTGCTTCCTGGAAGCAAATTATAAAGACATGAGAGGTGGCTCAAGTCTGTTTCAGATTACTGTATGTATTTGTGCCATATTTGTCTTTACAAATGAAACCATCACGGAAAAAATTAACTGGTAGTTCTAGTCAGATTTGAGTAAACGTGTATTATAATGTGGTCTGTAGATGAATGAAGAAAGAAAGATGGATAGAGAGAAAAAAAAGTTAAAGGACCAATCAAACGAACGTTGTAGCGGTACGTCATGACGTCGCCGCTCGCTTGCGTCTCAACGACGCTGAAGTGTAGGATGTAGCACAGGACGTGGCTATCAAGCTTCTAGCTACACTGGGACGTCTGAAAAACAACAACACAGAATTCGTCATAAAGAACTGGTTTAATACACGCGTAGGTAAGTATATCTGTTAGTTATGGTATTTTCTTCTAGCGTGTGCAATTGTAAGCGGACATTTCTCTGTGTAATACGCCTAGACTGAGCTCTGTCTGGTTAGCTTGATGCTAATATCCAGGGAAAACCAACGGTACCGTATTTGCTAAAAGGGATGGTTAGTGGAATAGCGATAGCTACATGTAATTCGTGACTAGAGAGGGGTTCTTATATCCAAGCATTGTGGTGCTTTTTGTGTGCTGACCCCAGTTGCTTTAATTATAAACCCCAAATAACTGGAGCAAAGTACAGCGTTGTCAACGAAATATCTTCCATATAGCTAACGTTAGCGATGCTAATGTTTGCAGGGCATGTTGAGAGCAACTGGAGAAATGGGGGTCTGTAAATCGCCTACATGTGCCGCTTTCAGTCAAATTGGGTCATCAGCCAGTCAGCTGGAATGACAGGATGTTCTCATTAGGTGCCATAGGTGATAGTATGGTTTAATTTACACAACGTTAGGTCAAGGGCATCGATACAGGGCTGTGTGCTCAATGTCTTGAGTCATTGTTCCTTTAAAACATTTTTTTGGTTAAAGCAGAAAACGATGTTCATAAGGATAAAACAGGTGTGAGATGCTGTTAGGTAAAGAATATAGATTATTGCAAGAAAATTTGAAAACGACTGAGCTCACGTCTTTTTTATTAATATATCTCCAGATAAATTGCGTCGATCTTGGATTTTGTCCCATGCAAGAACTGTAATGAATCTAACAATCACTATGAATATTATAATTTTTCTTTTTCTTTTTTTTAAACTCTTTTAGCAAGGAGGCCATTTTACCAGATGTGACGTATCAGCAAAACATCAGGACCTGAATGGAAACATTTGAGGCCTTTTGTGCGTGAGGTAGGCTTAAAATGTTTGAACGTGTTAAGGATTTAGGCAGATTATTTGGCTTTGCTTGGCAAGTAATTTGTCAACATGTCTTGGTAAACTTGCCCTTGTTCTTTGAATCTGAACTGCTTTTGATTCTTTATGTAAACTCAGACTGAGCTGATGGTGTTGAGCACAGTTGTATTATGAAGCAGGTTCAACATATCCAGGGGTTTTGTTTTTTTTGTTTGTTTGTTTTTTTTTTGCATTAGCTGGCTTTACCAAACCTAAAACTTTATTTTAAAAAAACGAAGATTTTTATTCATTCTCATACTTGCATAAAAAAAGGGAATTTGATGCACATGACTGCTTCTCAGCATAAAATTGCCAGATTGTGTGATAGAGATCTATGAAGAACATGCATACCTCAAATGGCAATTGTTGCTGCTAGACATTGTCAACAGATCAAAGCTAAATTGATTTTATTGGTTAAATATACTCTGTGACTGATATACAGCAAATTGACTGATTAATTTCTAATCTGCTGTATTTTCAGCAGTCTACTACGAATTATGACAACTGAATACATGTACATTTATATGACATGTGGTCCACAGTATGCACTGTAATGGCTTCATTTATTTTTATTAGTGTTGTTCAGCTGGTGCTATATATAAAATGGTTTCCTTCAGCAGAGAATCTGTAGCACACTTGGATCATGCTGTCTTTAAGAGTACCAATTAAATTGTGGCAGTTGCTCACAATTGTAAACCAGAACTCTGAACACACCTGCTCTGGACCAGGTTAAGAGTTTAACATGAGTTACCATGGTGACCACCTTTGTGACACTGAAAACTCTTGAGTTTTAAGCTTGACATACGCTGCTGACCTATTAGTCTCGCTTTGTGGTACACCCCTCAAGGCTAGTTGAATACCATCTGGTGTTTTTCTTGTCACTAAAAGTGTTTTTTTTTTTTTTTTTAAATCACTTTGGGGTCATTATCATGCACCCAAATAAATTTAGGATTAGTCAGTGCCTCTCTGTTGCATAAGAATTAAAAATACTTAAAGTCTTTGTACAGATTAGTATCATCTGTCTACAGTTGTCTCTAAGAAGTTAATATGGCTAAAAACCTTTTTGTGTGTTGTTCAGGAGGTTGTGGGTAATGTACCATGGGGTACGACGTTACGAGGTTTCAAGGGGAGGTGGATGAAGACCTGTTGTGTCCAATATGTAGTGGAGTGTTAGAAGAACCAGTGCAGGCAAGTCTTTGATCAAAATACCCCCCACCTTTTAATTCTATCTGTATTTCTGACATTACATTTGTTTTATATGCATATGCATTTTTCCACCTCAGGCTCCACACTGTGAGCATGCTTTCTGCAATGCCTGTATAACGCAGTGGTTTGCCCAGCAGCAGATTTGTCCTGTTGACCGCACAGTAGTGACGCTGGCTCACCTCCGTCCTGTGCCCCGCATTATGCGCAACATGTTGTCCAAACTTCAGATCAGCTGTGATAATGCCAGCTTTGGCTGCACAGCCACACTGCGGTTGGACCAGCTGCAGTCACATCTCAAGGACTGTGAGCACAACCCCAAAAGGCCTGTCAACTGTGAGGAGGGATGTGGGTAAGTGGATTCCATAGAATAAATCCAAAGCCTTACAAGCCTCCTTTGTATTTTATAGTATAAAATTTTCTTTTCTTTCTTAATATTCTGTTTTTCTCACTCTTGCAGGCTTGAAATGCCCAAAGATGAGCTACCCAATCATAACTGTATTAAACACTTGCGGAGCGTTGTCCAGCAGCAGCAAACTAAAATTTCAGAGCTGGAAAAAACTGTAGCCGAACATAAACACCAGCTGGGGGAACAAGTAAGAGTATTTTGCCAACACAATAGTATATTTTTGACAAAATATTCAGTCTAGTCTTGATAAAATATTAACAGTTGTCTGTCTGTATGATATTTGGCAGAAATAATTCGAGTGCCATGTCTTTGTGGTATAAGACACAGATGCATGCCTATTATATGTGTTTGATGGACGTGCAATAACAATGGTCTCCTCATTCTTATTGCACTTTTTTTTTTTTTT